ATGCATTTGTGAGGCCTGGCTGTGAATCCCAGACCCACACAAGCCAGAAGCACAGGAGTATCTGTGACCCCAGCCCTCCTCTGGTACAGAAGAATCCCAGATGTCCAGGCCAGCTATTCAGGCAGACACAGCAGAGGGACAGTAGACCTGTCTCAAACATAGCAAAGGGCAAGAACCAGTGCCAAGGTTATCCTCTGCCCTCCACACTCATACACAAGCATCCCACCCATTTCCCTCTCCATTGCCTCACCAACGACCTGCTTCTGCATCTGACTATCTCATATGTGTAGACTCACACAACACTATGTCTCACTTATCAACCCTGCTGTAGCATATGTCAGATCTCATTCCTTCCTCTTAATAGTCTGCCCTATGTATTCAACAACAAACACACGGCTATTTCTACCCATAGGCTGTGCATTCAGTAATGACACATGGCTATTTCTACCCATGGGTTACTGGGAAAATGCTGCTAAACAAGTATGAGTTCAAGGTCCCAGTTCTTTTGTGTGTGTACACAGAAATGGAGTTGCTGGATCACATGGCACTACTATACTGTTAGACATAGCACCACTTTACATTCCTACCAGTGTGGCGATATTTTGTTTATGATCTAACAAATAAAGCTTTCGTGAAGATCAGGGTGCAAAGCTAGTCACACTTGTCAGCCATAGAGGCCAGGCATGGGTAGCACACACCTTTAATTCCAGCACTCAGTAGACAGAGACAGATCTCTGTTAGTACAAGGCCACCCTGGGCTACACAAAATTGATCCAGTCTAAAAGAGAAACAGCTCACACAAAGGTGATCCCAGCACTAAGGAGGTGGAGACAGGAAGGGATATGGCTCAGTGGAGAGGAAATTAAGGCGGGAGGAGACAGGAGCTCAGGGCAGTCTGAGGAGCAGTCAGTCTGAGGATGCAGTCTGAGGAGCAGTCAGTCTGAGGATGCAGTCTGAGGAGCAGTCAATCTGAGGATGCAGTCTGAGAAGCAGTCAGTCTAAGAATACAGTCTGACGATGCAGTCAGTCTGAGGATGCAGTCTGAGGATACAGTCAGTCTGAGGATGCAATTTGAGGATGCAGTCAGTCTGAAGAGGAGCACAGTCTGAGAAGCAGCACAGTCTGAGGCAGTAAGCCTAAGGATGCAGCCAAGGAGGCAGTATGAGGACAGGATCACCCCTTTGGTCTGAGCACTAGTAGAGTAAGAACTCTAGTAACTGGCCCATTCTTCTCTGATCTTTCACCTTTCAACTCCTGATAAGTGACTCCAAGTTTTTATTATTAAGACCGAAGAGAACTTGTGCTACACACCAGTAGTGTAGGAAGGCTCCTATTTATAGTCAACATCTTTACTACACGTAAGTTTCTTTGTTTTCTATAAGGGATCTTAAGGGGAGTATGGTGATCTCACTGTGAGTGACTGCCACCGTCCTAATGATTAAAGACAGGCAGCATTTTTCCTACACTCACTAGTCCTCTGCTTGTCTTCTCAGAAGGACAGCTTCCCAGGCCTTTCAGCCAGGGCTCTTTTAGCTGTTCAACCACAGACACTATCTCTGTGCTCTAGACACTGGCCCTTTAATCTGGTGAATGATGCATGCTCTCCACCCTATGGCTGCCTTTAGTTTGGATAAAACCTGCCTATTCCTTTGTGGCTAGGTCTTGATGTCAGATCCAAGAAGCTCTGGCTGAAGCCAGCGTCATGACCTTCTCTACATTTTCTTCTTGATTTTGCACTTTTAGTCTCTGATGCACGCCAGTTTGTTTTATATATAGCAAGAACCCAACTCCACTTTCTTATACTTTTCTCAGGAATGCTTTTTCTACTGAACAGTCTTAGCCCTCATCAAAATCCGGCTGGCCACATACCTGAATGTTTGCTTCTGGGACCTTCACAGTGCTCTACTGCTCCTTATGTCTAGCTGAGCACACCACCATTTTGATTACCACAGTTTTAGGGAGTTTTTAAATCAGGAAGTGCATATAAATATTTCATTTCTATAATAAAAGATATTTGAATCACTTTTATAAGAGTAACTTTTAATTACTAATCATTTTCCATAGGCAAAAGATAAAACTCCAAATTTATTTTTACAGAAACTTTGATAAAGAGATCAACTATCAAATAAACATATACAGCCATACTCTGAGTCAGATGTGGTGGTACACACCTGTAATCCCAGAATTTGGGAAGCAGAGGCAGGAGAACTGCTAACAGTTTAAGGTTAACTTGGTCCACATACTAAGTTCCAGGCCAACCAGGTACACACCAAGACTCCACCTCAAAAAAAAAAAAAAAAAGGAAGAAGAAAAAAGCCAAGTATACTGCTCAGTGGTGGAGCACTTGCCCTAATACAGTCAAGAGACTAGGTCCAATTCCCAGGACCACAAAAAAACATAAAAATAAAATAGTCAGGCATGCTGACACATACATTTAATACCAGCAACTGGAAGGCAGAGGCAGATGATTCTATGAGTTCAAGACTACCCTATATTATGTAACAAGTTCCAGGACAGTCAGGGCTACAGAGTGAGACACTACCTCAAATAAATAAATAAAAACAAATACATGCATATTTAAATTATATTTATGATACCAATGGTATAGATTATGGAGTTAGTTATTTTTTATATTGCCTTAACAGAAGTATAGGAAAAAACTTATAATGTCATATTTTTAAACATTTTAAATATTTATTTATTTGGTTTTTTTGTTTGTTTTGTTTTTCTGGGGGTTTTTGGGGGGGTTTTTTTGGTTTTGGTTTTTTTTTTGGTTTTTCCAAGACAGGATTTCTCTGTGTAGCTTTGGAGCCTATCCTGGCACTCGCTCTGTAGACCAGGCAGGCCTTGAACTCACAGAGATCCGCCTGCCTCTGCCTCCCGAGTGCTGGGATTAAAGACGTGTGCCACCACTGCCCAGCTAAAAATATTTTTAAACTTTTATTAAGTATTTAACATAGTCCCCCCCTACCTCTGAATCAGGAATTGCAACAGTATCATAGGATTTGGTAATATGATTTAATGGAATGTTATAGCCACAGTCTGAAGACATAAGGGTGGTCTCTACTTTGCATGTTAGTGTTGCCTGTGACCTGCAAGAATTAAAGCTGAAGCCATGAAGAGCAATTTTAGGAATTCGCTACAAAAATAAGTTAAAGGTTCTGTCAAAACATTAAAACATTAATAACTACTTTAATAAAGGTGTCTTGGTTATTGTTCTACTGTTATGAAGAGATATCATGCCCAAGACAACTCATAAAAGGAAGCATTTAAGGGAGGACTTTCTTACACTTTAAGAGGGTTAGTCCATGGTCATCATGGTGAAAAGCAGACAGGCATGGTACTGGAGCAATAGCTGAGAGCTTTACATCCTGACCAACAGGCAGCAGGCAGAGAGAGAGAGAGACAGAGAGAGAGAGACAGAGACAGAGACAGAGACAGAGACAGGGTCTGTTGTGGGCTGTCAAAGCCCACCCCCAGTGACACACCTCCTCCAACAAGGTCCTACCTTCCAATCCTTCCCAAACTGTTCAAACATCTATGGGAACCATTCTCATTCAAATCACCACAATAAGAAAATTTTCAATAGCAATGTACATTGCTACTTAATAAATAGGTAATATTTAGCACACTGTAATTTGAAGCACTGAGAATTAACTGGTAAGAGCAGCTGGACAGCTGTTATCTTCTCTTTGTTTAACTCATGCTAGGCATCTTTTCTCTGCCTTGATAAACAGTTTTAACATTTCTAAGTTTGGATCCATTCCCAATATATTCTACTTTTGGACCTGTAATGTTGTCAAGTGTCTCTTAGAAATCCTTTAATTAATAGGAAGTGCTATGCTTTTCTTTTTTTCTTCTTTTTGTTTTTTTCTAATACCACTACTTCCTCCAGTCAACGTCAATCAAACCCCCTTATTTGCTTAAGTACCTTTTCTAAGTCCCTTCAGCTAGAAATTTAAGTATCTTTCACACAGTGATGTCAATTTCCACAGTAGCTATTTCCACACAATCTACCAATCGTCAGGTTAAATTTCACTATATAATCACTTTCTATTTCATTGCTAAAGTTATTTGAGGACCAAATCCCTCTTATAAATATCCATTTTGGAAAATATTACAGGAAACAAGGATGCAACTACACTTTTTTGCTGTCAGGGGCTAGACTGAGTAACAGGCATAGCCCCAATCACAGTCTGATTTAAAACAACTGAAATGGCTGGTTACTATTCAGGATTCACATTGGGAATTTATACAGTAATTTGTGGACTGAAGGCTAGCATGCAGAATGTCAACATGTGACTACTCAATCAGTACATTATCATGACCAAAATCTGAACATGTTGTTGGGGAGTTCAGATCTTTAAATTGTGAAAATTGAAATTCTGCTCACACAAATCTATTAAGTATGAAGCATAATATTAATAAAAAATATAAAAATATTCATCAGCATTTTGCTGACACTGCCAAATGACATCCACCTTTCAAATGGAAGCAAGGACAAGTCATCTGTAGCTATTGTAACATACAACTCCTTAGGCTTTCCCTTCAGATCATTGTCCCCACACCACCTCACTAAACAACCTAGAACACCTGAAACCTGGTTTCACAGAGGGGACTTAGACTCGTGAGAAGAGAAAAAGAGATTTCAGCTCTCAACCATGGCACTCTGTGCTCACAGCTATAGGCAATATGATCACTAACAAAAATCCTTAAATACCAGTAAGTGAAAATAGGGCTATTTTATTGTCTTACTTTGTCTTCAAAATGACTGAGTCTATCTCAGAGAAGAGGTATCTTGATATTTGAGGTGGAAAACTTAGAGCAGAACAGATGGACTAGAACACAAGTTTCTTTATTTCTTATGGTACTGCTCCCTTAGTTTAGATTAGTAATAAAGAACAGATCCATATTGTTTACCTATGACTTGGCATACACGGTGAACATAATCACAGTCTACCCAGCTTCCAAAAGCCAAAATCTTTGAACATGTGACCTACCCCAACAATCCGCTTCATAGCATCTAGTTTGGCAGAATCTTTGTTGCTCTCCAGCATCTGCTTCAGGTCTTCATTCCTAGTGCAAAAGAGAAGACATAATTCTAGACTTGGACTTTTACAAAAAATAGCTATTAATAAATATAGCTACCATTTTTATGAGAACCGGGAGCAGCACAATGGGAGGAGCTGCACTCATTGTAATCAATGGTTAGCTTGCTTCACCTACAAAGTCTATGTAGGATGTTGTCATAAAGCCCACAGAGACAGAAACATAAGAACTATCCTACAGCTTTATATTTGCTGATGAGATGTCAGTAAGAACATGGCATATAGAGTCTCTCACCTCAAATTTTCTTTGACATAATCATCAGGGGAAAAGGAAAAATTATCAGGTCAGCTCTAAAATATTTCCATGTGCAAAAAAAAAAAAATTGTTTCAGACTATTACACAAGTTCCCTAACTAAGAGGTGTGTCATTTACATGATCTCAACTTCCTATCCCCCAATTGCACAAATAAATAGGGTTACCCTCTTCATCCTGAGACTAGATACACTTTAACATCTAAATGGCAGCGTAGGTAGTTAGCTATAAGGATGAAAACACAGAGCAAAGGAAGAACTACTTAGAAGTTATGACTGGGCTCTGAAACAGACACTAAGAAGGGTGACATTATTCCCAGGTGGAAAGCACCTGGGACACCTGTCTCTTTCACAGGGCTCTGTGCTATTTAAAACAGCCTTGAAAGGTAGTCTAAAATAAAAGCTGTCTGTTGGCATCTTTACTTGGAAGAGCTACAGAGAAGAGAGGATGAGGCCCTCAGTTCCTTCCTGTGGGTTATGATCAGGCTTCTATTATTCTAAGTGAATCTTCTCTGGGGAAATTCACAAACATGAACTCATCACACGTAAGAAAATACATAATTTGTAATCTCTAATCACTTTTTATTAAACACAATAAAATTATGTTTGAAGACAGATCTCTAGATACTCAGGAGAACTAGCCCACCAATGCTTTGTTCTTGGACTGAGGCAGAATTGTATGCCAGAAGTCTGTGTTTAGGGCTCCTAGTCTGGGGTGTTAGGGCAGCTAACACTCATCTTAGCATCCAGAAGCAGGAAATTGCTTTTGGAACGAGATAGTAAGGAAGGATTTACAAGTTCAAAACCCACATTAGAAAAAGGGGGCAGAGAGAAATTTGTGTGTTAAAGACGAATCTGTGAGCTGGTGTCAGCACAGGCCTTTAATCCCAGCACTCAGGAGACAGAGGCAGGTGATCTATGAGTTTGAGGCCAGGCTGGTCTACAGAGTAAGTTCCAAGAGAGCAAGGGCTACACAAAGAAAACCTGTCTCAAACAAACAAAACAAAACAAAAAAGAATCTGTGGGGGTCTGGGACAGAAAGGAGGATTGTGTTAATGGAAGTCAGAGGAGAGGTGACTCTTGTTAAGAAACAACACAGGGGCTTCTGGAGAACTATGTTCTGTGTCTTATGGGAAAGTAGAGGAGGACAGTGATGGGCATATCCAGGAGATGTGGTTCACATCTGTAGTCGAGCTACTTGGGAGGCTGAGGTGAGAAAATCACCAGCCTAAGGAACATAGTGAGAATTCATGGCAAGGGGAGTAAGGAGGAGAGATGGCAAAGGAAGGAGAAAGAGGGAAGGGGAAGGGGGAAAAGAAGTTATGACACTGGGTATTTAAATGAGGCTATTTCAAAAGTAGCATGTTGGTGAAATAGCCTGAGATTTTCCTTGCTACTAATAGCAAAATATGAGAGGTAAGACATAAATTGGGCAAGCCATCAGGGCTGTATAGTGAGACCTGTTGGAACAAGGTCCAGAATGGAGTTGAGTAAGGATACTTCTGAGTGCTCAAGAGAAAACTCAAGAGTCTTGTGACCTCAGTTTCTTCAAAACCACAAAACTGCTCCTGGAATATGCTTTTGTGCCCCTCCCAGGTGTAATGGATAGAAGTGAGTTTACTTCAGATTAATCATTTCAATTGGCTATTGTTATTCAATTGGCTATTGTTATTGATTTATATGCCTGTATGGAAAAGATGTTTTTGCTAGCCCTTGTGATTGGACAATTTACTCCTGTGACTATTTATTTATTTTTATTTTTTTGAGACAGGGTTTCTCTGTGTAGCATTCCATGTGACTCCTCATAACCTAGGGTATAACTGTCTGATGTTCTGAATAAAGTTGGCCATTGCATAAGACTTTAGCCTGCATTTATGGGCTCCATTCTGCCAGGTCCCACAGCCTCTACAGCAGTGGTTCTCAACCTGGGGGTCACAACCCCCAGGGTTTGAGCAGCCTTCTCTTTTCTTTCTTTTCTTTTTTTTGGGGGGCTGGGAGTTCAAGCAGGGTTTCTCTGTGTAGTTCTGGACATCCTGGAACTCACTCTGGAGACCAGGCTGGCCTCAAAATCAGAGACCCGCCTGGCTCTGCCTCCCAAGTGCTAGGCAGGGTTAAAGATATACACCACCACCACCAGGCAACCTGCCTTCTCATATATCAGTTAACACATCAGATATCCCGCATATCAAATATTTACATTACAATTCATAACAGTAGCAACCAAAATAAATTTATGGTTGGAGGCACCACAACATAAGGAACTGTATTTAAGGGTTGCAGCATTAGGAGGTTAAGGCCACTGCTCTAGAGCAATAAACAAGACCCCACTTTAAAAAAATAGATTTTGATTTTTAAAAAGGAATTCAATTTAAGTAAAAACTAATTAGAACTTGAATTTTTAGAAGCTCCTCAACCAAGCTCTATTGCAAACAAATGTTCTGGAGAAACACCAAGAGATGGCTAAAAAATCATATAAGAAGGGACCATCAAGACAAATGTGGCAATGCACTTGAAATCCCAGACTTCAGGAGACCAAGGGAAACAGACTGAGTTCAAAGTCTACCTTGGCCACAGACCAATTTCCAGCACCTTGGGCAACCTAGAGACCTTGCCTCAAAACAAACAAACAAACAAACAAACAAACAAAAAGATCATAAGAAAACTCAAGGATTTAATCACCCATCTCCACAGAACCAGGGAGAAAGGGGATTATACAAAAAAGACAATGGATGATACAAACGAAGAAAAACAGGGAACTTCTGGAAATTCTAGGCCATGTGCACTATGGGGTAGAGTGAAGCAGTCATCTATCTCTAAACAAAGAAAAGGAATCCCAGGAAACAGAAGCCAGTACATGGTCCCATTTGCAATGACTTTTGCCCAAGAAATTTTTACACAACCCCATTTTATACATATACATAAAGTAGTATAGAAGCAAAACATTTATGGACAATAAACCATGAAATTTATTTTAAAATATTTATTTGTAGACATATAATTTTCCCATTTACTAAAGATAAAGGTAAATTGTATATGCTAATGTAACGGGTATGCTCCTTTTTGTTTATAGCTGATATGAAGGACACAGCTGCTTCAATGTCTATCACAGTAGATCAATACTCAATGGTGAGTATCAAACTGTGGTACGTCCACTTCATGAAACATAACCCAGCAATGAAAAGAAACAGACTACTGACATGGGCCAGCACCTATAAACACCCTCCAGAAGTAGGCTGAAAGTGGCACTCCAGTGCACAAAGGTCACATCTTAGAGTAACAAAGTTAGAGGATGAAGACATTAAAGATGGCTGGGGGTCAACAACAGGAAATAGGGAAGACACATGAACCCTATGGTACTTCAAGCATATGAACTATGTGTTACAAGACAGAGCTAGTCATACAAATAGGAACAAATCAAGTAAAATTGGACAGATCTGAGCACGACTGACAAAATGCATCAATGTCAACATCCTAGCTGTTGTTTTTATACCAGAGCTTAGTTAGCAAAGGCAAACTTATCATAAACTATGAGGGACACAGAACATCTCTGCAGCATGTCTTTTAATTCAGTGTGGCTCTATAAAAAACCCAAAATAAAACTAAGAAACCTTTAGTTTTCACCGTGAATGCAACTCAGCTGACAATCACATTCTAAAGGTGAGAGTCCAATGTCCACTTTGCCACAGAAGAGGAAGCGTCATCATAAATTCATGAAAAAGCATCATTCTTCAGAGAAATGCAGTGTCTACTCTAAGGCTTAAGTGGACAGCTGGATACATGAAATCCTAATTCTGTAAGACAGATAAGAAGGAGCACTACAGCACCTTATCCACGTGTATAAACAAAACATTTAATTCTAAAGACAATGGGAAATTACACCTGAGAAGGACATACAGGACCACACAGCCAGATTTGCAGACTTTGAAATGAGGGTGTAAATTCATGTTTATTCAAGAATTTAAATCATTGAACCCCATTTTAGTTCATCACAAGATGCTCCGGGACACAGCCTAGAATAGTGTGGTTCTCAACCTTCCTAATGTTGTGACCCTTTAATACAGTTCCTCATGTTGTGGTGACCCCCAACCATAAATTTATTTCACTGTACCTCCTAACTATAATTTTGCTACTGTTATGAATCATAATGTAAATATCTGATATGCAAGGTATCTGATACGTGACCCCTATGAAAGAGTCATTCAATCTCCAAAGGGGTCATGACTCATAGGTTGAGAACCGATGGCCAAGATGATCACAAATGAGGCCAACTACAAGCACTAGGTTCATGAACTGCAATCCGTTAAGTCTACAGCAGACTATGAAGTAAGTCCTAAAAATTTCACACGTATGGCTCCTTCATGCAATACATTCAACCACCAAACATAAACCCCCAGAAGAGCCAATGAGATGGCTCAGATGGCAAAGACACCAAAATCAAACCTGGTGACCTATGGGCAATTACTGGGAGCAACATGGCAGAAGGAAAGAACCAACTCCCACATGGTATCCTTTGACCTTCACATGCACACTCTGACACACCCCTACACAAAAACACACAAGAAATGAAAATGCAATTTTAGAAAACAAAAAAGAATCCGGGAAGACCTTCCTTCTGGGCTGAAGCTTGCACACAGATCAGGGAGCCTCAGCATGTCAGATACGCAGCCTTCAACATTTCACAGATTCATACCAAACACACTCAGCCAGTACCTATCC